GATTGGGCCACACCTGAGATAGCTTTCTGATAGGTGTGGCCCAATCAGTTTCAAAGACAATGCATCAATTATCAGAGTATTGTTTTTTGCTTGCATTTGACTGCAAGTATTGTGGTTAATGTAAGCATGATTCCTTACAAAAGGTGTCAGTTTTGTTGCCAGAAAAAAGGGGAAAAACCCTATTAGTTTATTGGCGAGTGTGTGAACGAAAGGCTGAATTTGGTAATTGGGCGTAAAAAAGAACAGCACCACGAAGGAGCCTCAAACTCTGCAGAGCTTCGGGGAACCTCCCGGCAATCTCCCAAGAGCAAACAGCTCAGACATCTCTCGATCCACCCGTACGGCATACCGCAGACAGCTATAAACACTGCTCTTGCTTCAAATGAGTCAGATGTGCCCTCAAGATCACTGTGCGTGTGCAGAACACGTGCGATAATTACGAAGAACTTTTAGGCCATTATTAAGTGCTTGAACATTTGAAGTGAAAAAAACAAGCGTTGCACTATTTGCTCACTGGGTGCACATTACAGTGTCGGTTGAACTGATGAAGCTGAAGGAAGCCGCAGAGCAGAGGGGATTGGCGATGAACGAAGCCGTGAAATTGGTAGACCGTCTTCTTCGTACGGCTGATGTTGGTGTAGATCAACACCTATAGTTTTGCATTGAGGTGCTTGAGTCAGATAAAAAAAATTGTCGGGAGTAGCAGAGTGCATCACTGTGATGATGCCCCTCCTTCGTATTTGTGAATCGGGTATCAAGGGGTTATTTGTTCCCGTGGTCTATTCTGGGTGGCCACTGTCACGCACCAGATATTATTTAATGTTCCGTTTGTGCACCAAGTGTCTGCATTGGTAGATGACCGATAGCAATAGAGGGACTTCGTCACTGTCCAGTAAACACGGAATTTTGGGGTCAAAGTTGGGTCAACGTTGGTCCAATTGTTCCTGCCACGAGCTAATGCTGGCCCAACAGTTGACCTAACGTCGGCATGTGAACTTTGTGCTGAGTAGACATCGAGGTGTACAATGAGCCCCCCAATGTTTTAAAAGATTAAAAAAAAAAGTTCTCCCAAGCATACTTTGTAAAGGCTAATAGAGACTTAACCCGGCCGCCACATAGCAAATGTAATTAAACTGATCTCTCAAACCTTACGAATAAATAATCAGTGTAGCTAAAAAATCGTGCATCTTCCGGAGCATGTATTATATATTCATCACAAATGTATGATTAGTTGGGCTCTGTATGACACCCTCATTCTGTGGTCAGATCTAATTGCATGCGAATATAACCAACGCAATCCAGGCCTGTGAGAAATGTGTGATAATAACATATCGTTTGCTTAGATCCCTCCTTAATCTTGTGCTTATGTAAATCACTCCGATGTCACTTTGTACACACATTATATGTTCACTCCTCGATATCCTTACGCGAGAGAGTTGTGTGTCCACTTAGACTGTTACATGAGCTTGCTCAGAGGTATGGGTGTACACGACGCATGAGAAAATATCGGAAAACCGCGTTTTGTTTCTCATTTGAATGCTTTAGATCGGTCATACAAAAGTCAAATCGATTTCCCGCTCCAATGAGCATTGAGACGGCGCTCGACCCCCTATTTACAGCACTGATCCAGCCGGTGAAAATGTCACGTTCCTCTGGAGTAAGTGAGCCTATTCATAGGACATCCATTGTTGTTTCCACCACAAAGGAGCACTCAACCCTCAGCCGGGATTTCAACCAGCACCCTCCCGCATACGAGCCGCTCAAAGTTCAAAGGTCATTTATTAGGTATGGCCCTATGAGCCATTCGGCTCTTAAATCAGGTGCAACCGCAACAAACAAAAAACTAAAATATGAACAAGAATACATCTTATAGTGACTATGTGCAAACAGAAAATCCAAGAAAAGACAGCAAAATATTGCAGAAAAATCACCGTACACCAACACTGTGTGCAAACATCCCAGTGGGATGCAAGTCAAACAACAACAACCACAAGACAACTTAGATTACGGCCATCAGTCTAACTCTGTACTACAACAAACAAACATGGCCAAACCAAAATGCTTTTCGAAAATCACCAAAATAAAGCCATAGGAACTGTGACCGAATTTTCACAATAAACGACGTGAACAACATGTACGTGGAAGCAAATGGGGAGCACATTGACCTCTGGCCCCAGCGATCTGTGTTCTACTCCAGTCCGTGGCTAACACCAGCGGCGAGTGAGATCTTCCATCCTCTACCCCTTACCAACCCACACTGAACCGGCGTGGTGACGCGTCGTCAAATAGCCCCCGTGACCGACACGGCGTGATGGGGAGACTTTCATCCACAAGTGGGTTGACAGAGGCTGCAAATTATTCATATTAAGTGTACGTGAGCAGGTGGAGGTCAACTTGATTCACAGTGCTGACGTCACTGACGGCAGAGGGCCATTCCGCGAACTGTCAGGTGAACGTATTCTCCTGCAGCTCACCCCACACCGCTGATAAGCGGTAAATCATCACCCACCTTGCCCCATCATGAACATGTTTCAAATACACGACAGAAGTTGGCCCATTTCAGACATTAGGTAGCCAATGACAATGCTGGTTGCAAGAAGAAGATTTCATCCTCGGATTGTCCGTATTAATACTGTACATGATTGTTTAATCATTGCCTTATACATAAACCATTTGGAAGTATATCTCGCCGGTGATATACGTGTAAAATGTTACAATGTAAAATGTTCCAACTCATGTCACGTATAATTTGCGCATTCATGTTATATGCATTTGATGCATTCTTCTGCCATTTCACTCTTTACCGAAATAATCCTTACGCATATTTACTTTGTAGCCCAATGTTTCTATTGAATTAATAAGAGACGTGTAATCTCATTGCGGCTCTCACTTGGATACAGAGGTTTTGCTTACGACGTAGTTTTTTTACTCGCAGTTGTACTGCATGCCTCTCTGCTGTGTTTTCACAACATGCTGTGAGAGCCCGAACAAAAAAAAACCATCAGAGCAGCACACGCATTTGAGTCATAAACACGCGTGTGCGTGCACACGCGTGTTTATGACTCATTTCAAGAAAACAATTTAGAACCGTGGATTGCCAGTAATTGCTGGAGTTGTTGAATGCAAATGTAGCCGAGCGGGATGTCCTGTGCTTCTGAACTGGTCCTTCCAGCAATGCAAGTGAGTGCAATTTTAAACGCAGGCTTATTTACCATGACCAGTGAAGCCATGAGATGGGAACAGCGTTTTTCCACCGTGCTGTCAAGGTTTTACGTTCCATTACATTTTAAAACGGTCTGCTAAAATGTCTGCTCGTTCTAAACTCGAACGATGGTGACGTGACTATGCAGATCAGTTTAGTGGAACAATATCCAGTTTACCCCTTCGCATAAAATTGGCTTTACAGAATTTGCACGAAACTAACCATACGTTGTTTGACGATCGTCAGTGGGCCACCATTACCAATCTCATTGTGTTTTGGCATTTATATCGCTGAAGCACAATCAAAACAGCACCAGAGCACCTAAACGAGACTGTTGTGTTTATGAGTCCATTATCTCGCTGGCATTTTCACAACCGCTTGCTGTGTCACAGCACATGAGTGTGTGCTTTACCGTAATATTTGTTTTATATATATATGTAGAGATGCCTAGCTCCCCGATGTGTTTTCGGGTTGCACCACGTATCAGTTGGTATGACGTCCAACGTTTCACTCCACATAACTGGGGGCTTCTTCAGCAAATACATTTGGCTGACGGTGAAATAACGTTGTCCTTCCAGTCACGTGACACGGCAGGCAGCGGCTCCCAGCATGCGGAGCGCACCGTTGGGACCGTCACGCCGAACAATCACAGGGTGCCACCTGAAAACACAACCGAGACAGCTGCCCGGCACGGCCGCAAAAAAATAGAAAAACTATCGCAGGAGCATTTAGGAATCTTTTGCTCACGCGGCAACTTTTTTCTCGCGCTTTCACTGCCAGCTGAGTGGCTTGGGGATCACCGCAGCCGATGTCTTGGCTGACGTCCTCTGGCCGGCTTTGGCGAGGCCGTGAGCAGTGCTGCGTCCGCGTCAAACGCAACAAATAAACCCTGGGCCCGGTTCCCATGCTGCCGCTTTTGTCCCGCGCGTTGATGACGAATGCGAGCGGTGCCAAAGCAGTTGGGGGGGGGGGGGTACTGCGGTAGGAACAAGATAAATGGTGGTGTGATGTGTGGTGGGGGGGAGTTCTCGCTGATTTATTTATATGCCCTGTTGTCTCAAATAATGACTCGCTTTTCGCTCGTTGCGTAAAATTGCGGTTGAGAATTAGCGGGGTTTGATAGCGTTTTTCGGGGGCTACAGATTGCGCCGATGGAAGCCACTTTGTCGTCGTAAGCTGCACAGGTTATCTAGGTGAGAACAGATGCTGAACTAAGAGGGTTTGTAAATTATTCCACAACTTGAGCGAAAGTAAAGTCAACTCAACATCGGATCTCGTGAGAGAAAAACACTTAACACGCCAAAGCCGTGCTTTCTAATGTGCAAGATAAGTGTTTCGACACATTTCACACAGGTGTCGTCAGAAATTTGGTGACAAAATTGCATCTCCCGGCTTTGCATTTCAATAAGAAAAAATGCGCAAATACTTCCCGCATTAAAACAACAAGAACGCATCACGCATGCCGCCGAAAATAATTCATTGCGCGCTCATAAACTAAAGTTGCAGTTGTGCATCACATAGTCGAATGTCTCCACAAATTTCCAGAACATTCCCTTCTCAGTTTGCAATTATTGTTTTTTGTTGTTGTTAAAATTAATTGGATCTAAATAGAGCATCAATAGGGCGGTCTGCCTCTGGAATTTCCACATCTCCTTATTGTGGCGTTGAAGCTTTGCCCCACCGAACGAACGCGTGCCGGCGTTGTGCCTCTCGATTCTCTCTACTACGCGTCACATCGCAACCTTGCTTCTCTGCCACCCCACCACCCCCTCCACCACTTCCCTTTCACATCCCACAGGCGAAGTGACGAGGAGAGCAAGCGTGGAGCTTCTGCTGGACGCTGCCAACCCCTTCTGATGTGCTATAGGGATGTGGCTGTATGAATTTGCAATTGTGGTAGCATTTGCTGCTTACCCTGCAGGTAAACAAAAAAATAACTCAAAGCAAAATTCATTTTTTTTTGGTGGAAGATTTAGTTTTTTCAAAAGTTGAATTTGCAATGCAATAGTTTTTAAATTTCGATTTATTTCATTATTTCATTCTTCATTTCATTCTTCACCTGAAGACGGCTGCTTGCGTTGTAGCCGAAACGTCGTGAGAATTATTTTATTTTATTATGTTTTATTTTTATTATTTTATTACTTCCCTTCTACGTGACTTTACCGAAAGAACCAAGAAAATGCAATAGTTGTTGTTGTGGTGGTATTTAAAGTGAATGTTGAGTTTGATTGCCATTGTAATCTGACCCATTTTTTTCCGTGTGCATGTTCAGTTATAGTAAAATAAGTAAAATAAGTAAGTAATCTACACTACAGCTGGTGATCAATGTCTAAGAGATTAAATGCAATTTGTTGTCGATTTCAACCAGGATTGTTTTTTTATCCTTTCCGATTGCATTACAAAGTGGACAGTAAAACTAAATAAATAAACATCGTGATGTGTGATTTTTTTCTATGTTACCTTTACATAATGCATGTTATATATATATTTATTTGTCACCAATATACATTTAAAAAATTTTTCTCACAGTGCTGCTAGTATTTTATTTTACCCAAAAGCCTCACAGCCACCTGGTGGTTTTTGTGTTGAACCTCGCTGGAATTCTTTCTCAGACCCGCGCAAATAATTAGCACTGCCTTTGCATGTGATTGCTGTAAATTATGCTCAGCTTAAACTCAAACTCTGGGATATATGCCTCATTCCTGTAAGAGATGCATTTTTTGTTTAATGTACACACATCCTATTAGCCCTGCGTTCGCGTGCATGCCGTGCTTGTCTTTCGGCAACTAGGTGCATTCAAACGAGCGTATAACAAAGCGATCAATTGTTTAACTCTCCAATACGATTGTAGTAGTATTTCTTAATGTGATTTTAAATAAGTATATATGTATCGTGCAACTCAGAGTTAATTACAAAGCGAAGATCGAGGCTCAGTGGGATGGAGAATTACCGCGGTAACAAAGGTACGCTTGCTAATGTGGCAAATGTTACCATAAGCATACCTGTTCCAAACAGCATACAAGCGGGTTTGGGTGTGCAGTGCAAGCACATTTTAAAAAGCAATGACTATTATTATTACCTGGAAGTATCTATTTTTTTCTTAAATGGCTGCAAAGGGCCTCAGACAATATAATGAGCATAGACTACGGCTGTAGTTCTGTCTTTGTAATTTTCGTTCCATAGTTAAATAAATAAGACTGTGCTTTTTTTATTGTAATTATTATTCCTGCGGTTTTTCAAGCCCAATTATATCTAGGCACGTAACAATTCCTTTTTATTTTTGTTGATAGACTCTGGTAAAAATTTGAAAATGTAGTTCATGCACCCATTCGTATTGGCTACAGCAAACTAACGCCATTACATTTTTTTACGTGATTGCGTTAAAAGAAACAATTTGTTTTATTATTGTTGTCGATACAATTCATGAGAGAAATGACTGTATTCAGTAAATGTTACAGCAAGGATGCACCTGCGATGTGCAAGTGCAAACTTCTATACGAACGATTGAAATGATTTCAGATGCATACGCCGTCAGATTAATTTTCCACGAAAGGAAAATGGGGTCCGCATTTTCACCATGAAAGCAATAGCCATCTGTTGACCATGGCTTGGCTTCAAATTGGTTTCACGATTTTGAGGGCCTTGTGAAATTGTCTTCTTATTAACGTGAATAATAATAAAAATAAAATAGAGCATTTCTCACGGTTAAAGGCGAAAAAAAAACACATTTACATTTAAGTTCCTCATTTCATCCCCTGAATGAGAAGTGACACATTTTCAATTTAAATCTTCTAAATGTTGGTTTTATTGTCGTTCGCACTGATAGGAAGTGGGCCATAAGAATGGGAGCACAGTGTGAAATGGCTGCAGATGCAAATGGAAGGATGCTACCAATGAATGCCCCCCCTCCCTCCGCACACGCCCTCCCCCACTCCCTCCCTCCCCCTCTTAACATTCCCTATTCCTCTAGCGGAACAGACAGGGGGATATGGCCCACTGTTTTTGGAGGAGCCGGAAGATGTGACATATTTGGTAGAGTCCTCTGAGAAAAAGGTCTCGTTCCGGTGTAGAGCCAGTGGACACCCTCCCCCACTCTACAGGTGAGTCTGCGGTGCGCAGCGATGCAGATTCCTCGGACGCTTAAGTCCGATTGAAATTTTTAAGACGAGAGAACCATCCTCGCAACAATTTTTTTTTAGTTTAACACGCAAGCTTCCGCGACCAGTGTCATTCATTTTAAAGGTTTTTTTTGGGTTAGATCGCGAAAGTACAAATATTCTGGCAAATCGCCCGATGATGCTGGATGTATAATTACCAGCGAAACGTCGTACTCAGATTGTAATTGTTGTGGATTCACTCTTCAACACACCGGTGGGCTGAAGTAGTAACTATTTGGCGTTGTGTTTACGGTGCAAATCCCTTACTGATTGGCCGTGTCGGGCGGTGGAGGGTTTCGACACATTGATACTTACGTGATCGAACCCAAAAGCCTTTATTATGAATATTATTTTTTATTTCTTTTTTTATCAGGTAAGGTCCGCTGAGCTATGTGGCTCTTTTTAAGAAGCTGCCTGGCCACAAATGATAGCTCAACGGAGTGTCTTAGCACGTGGATATGTATAGCAGCCAAACACTCTAAATGCACATTGTTTCTAAATGAGGGAGGGGAAAACCGGAGGACCCCGGAGAAAAATCCACGCGACCACGGGGAGAACGCGCAAACTCCAAATATACAGCAGGCGTCAGGCTTGGGAGCGAACTCACGTCCTCCTATATACCAGGCGAGATAGTTAACATCTCGCCACCACGGTGCAAACACATCGTAAGATGCTGCAGTTAGCCGACGGTGGAAGGAAACGTGTGGGCTTTGGCAAGATGCATTATTAAATATTGATCAAATGTATTTGAAAAAAAAAAGATATTGCGATTATGTTTAACTGGTGAGCGGTGATGGGTTAGGTGAGTTGATCTTCGGCGAGTCAAATCAGGTCAATGTCTGACGAGGGTCAAGGTGGATGCCCTTTGAGTGTCGTCGCGTCAACCCCCGTCAAACGGACAGGCTGCCATTTAGTTTCAAATTAAACGCTCGCTAGAATTAATGTACATGACAATGTCACATATCCGACGCGCAGGGGACAGAGGGACAGGCGGCTATGTGAAAAGGCCACGCATGTACACATCTACGAAAAATGACAGTGATATCACCATGTACAGACAGGTAAGAAGTGGAAACCCGCGTTACCGTGCGTTAGAAGTGAACAAACGTTCGCGAGATCAAGAATACGATAACGCGAGCGCACAAAGGTCGGATCTGGGACTAACTATTGAAAATAACAGATGAACCGGGCACATACATTGCACTGTTTGTGGGCGGATAATTGGTCAGGGCGAATATGCGACGGTCGAATATGCGACGTCGTGAAAGGTGCGGGCAAAGGTGCATCATCCCAATGCCTTTGCTAGTGGAAGGGTATCACATAAACCATCACGTAAACTCCGGTCATTCTCGCAGAAGTTTTTGGTTGGCTGGTCATTGAACAAAGATGGTCACTGCATCGCGCGCTTTCATCTGCGCTTCTGCGGCCGTCTGGAACGCTCTTCCTTAATATATTAGGAAGCCGCTGGAGCTATGTAGTTTTAAATTACCTACATTGGAAACTAATTTCTTTCGAACAGCTTTTTGTGTATATATTGTTGTCCTTCCCCAACACCTTCGATTAGCACAATTGACCACGGCTACGTACGGTGCGAAAGAAGTTCCATATACACTAAAATGGAGCTCTCGAGAGTGTCCCTCCAAAGCGCCTTTGGCCTACTCTTCCACCGCTTACCAGAGGTATCGGACGAGGCATGCGACCTTGCGCCGCACTTTAAAGCCGCGTGCGTGTATGTGTGGTCACGTGACGTGCGGGGCATCGCTCTTCGTTCACAGGTGGCTGAAGAATGGGACGGAGGTTCCGATCACGGGACACTACAGCCTGGCAGGGGGAAACCTGATCGTGAGGAATCCATCCGAGGGTCGAGATGGTGGCGTGTTCCAGTGCCTGGTCACCAACTCCGTCGGAAGCATCATTAGTGTGGAAGCCAGACTACAGTTTGCCTGTGAGCGCCTTCCATGATTCCGTTCTCTCGCATGTATTTCTCCCCGCTGTTCTTATAAGGGGCCGTCCATAAATGACGTCACGCGATTTTTGACGATTTTTTACCCCCCCCCCCCATCGTCACACGGCGTCACAAAAAGTCAGACCCCCCCTTCAAATATGACGTCACAAAACTCTGCCCCCCCCCCCCCCCAATAAAACATGCTTCAAATTGCTTTAAACTATTGTCATTGTAGTGCGTATTTTATGTGCCGCTGCACTCTGATGTTGTAGGAGAAAACACGTATTAAAAAGTATTTTTGATGTGACGTCACATTTCTCACCTCCCCCCTCGTCACACATCGTCACAAATGGCTGACCCCCCCCCCCAGGTGCGTGACGTCATTTTCTCCTACAACATCAGAGTGCAGCGCCACATTAAATACGCACTACTGTCTACAATGACAATAATTGAAAGCGATTTGAAGCATGTTTTATTTTTTGGAGGGGGGGGGGGGGCAGAGCTTTGTGACGTCATATTTGAGGGTGGGGGGGGGTGTCTGACTTTTCGTGATGCCGTGTGACGAGGGGGGGGGAGGGTAAAAAAATCGTCCAAAGTCGCGTGACGTCATTTATGGACGGCCCCTGATTGCGAGTTGCGCTTCGGCGTCGGCAAGCCAGGGGGCAGGGCGCCATCGTGGGCGTCTGCGTTGGGCAGGGGTCTGGGTGTTCGTGCCGTCGTTTTAGTATTTCCCTCTGCGTGTTTTTTCGTGAGGGAAATGCGGGTTTTTTTTTAAACTTTATTTTAGATAACCAGAGCAGTAATTGTTGCCATTGTGGTACAGGAAACACATTGTATTTCCGCAAAGAAATTCTAGAACACAAATGCCTCATCTGGATTTGAAAATGCGCGGAGTAATTTAGGACCACGGCGGTCATTTTTCGCCGTGGAATATTCTAGATTTGAAGCTTTCGTGACGGCAAGGATTCATATTCTTAGGTGTTTTCGGTAAAGTCACGTAGGTAAAAAAATTAAAATTAATAAAAGTTAAATAAAATAAAAATCACGACGTTTCGGAGGCAACACAAGCTTCCGTCTTCAGGTCATAAGGGGCTGTGACGGTTCCACCTGAAGACGGAAGCTTGTGTTGCCTCCGAAACGTCGTGATTTTAATTTTATTTTACTTTTATTAATTTTAATTTTTTACCTACGTGACTTTACCGAAAAAACCTGTGTAATATTATTTTGTGGTTTAAAAATGTGTTCGACAACTGAATTGCATGCATTGTTCTGAAAGATTGAAGATTTCCGTAACAAAGCCCATCCATTATAGACCACTAATACAATCTTACGTATGAGGTCCCTGCTTTAGGCCAGCTCTCCATTATCGGAAATTTGTTCTTAACATATTTAGCAGCTCATTGTTAATGCACGCTCTTCATGGGTTTAATTTTTTTGCTATGTTAGGTGACTCTTCAATATCCGAATAGTACAACAAAACATTGCGAGTTAACATATGTATGCAGTCAATATTTATAACCATCTATAGCCATACATATGTTTTTTTTTGTAATTGTCCAAACATCCCATTGAAATTTCGTATCGAGATCGAATGAGCTTTTCGTGGCTAATCAAAAAGCACAATCATTATTGTCGTTCCAGCTCATTGGCAACACAATCAAACGCAATTCCGCCTGAAACACTCTCTGAAGCATGTGTAGGAATTATTCAGCATGCGCATGTTTGCTTTGAAAGTGATGAACGTCGCATGGGAAATAAAGTAACGGATGCATTGCCACAACAACTAGGGGAGGCCATTCCGCCATCAGTGGAGCAAGTTTGCTGTTGCAGGGCTGCACCTTTAACTTTCTGCTTAATATCCACAGCTTAATGGGGGGGGGGGGCAGGACTGTGATCATTTTAGGGGGCCCTCTTTGTCTGGATGGCCACACAACTATGGGACATCCTGCGCTGGTTCTGCGATACAGAGTAGGCATGGATCGATTCGTCGATTAAAATCGATTCTCATGCTCACGGTGTGTGCATCACATCACGCGTGTTGATAATCAATTATTTTCGATTCATGTTCCATGCATATACTTTGTGTGTAATGGACTCACATTCAGGGCTGGATTAAGTTTGAATGGGGGCCCTTGGGCTGTGATGGTTTTGGGCGGGCATTCTTTGTTAAGTCAATTCCTTCCCTTGACTGTTTTACAACCACTCGTGCCCGATGCCAAACACTCCAACGTTATTCACATTGGTTATTTCACTTCTCGTTTTTAAAACGTGGTGTATACTAATCGTCGACCAGAGTCAAAACAAGCAAACAAAAGTATTGTTACATTTTTTTGGCACGTTTCTGGTAAGGAAAGCAGATAGTGAGATGTGTTTTCACTTAATTACCAATTCACCTTACATTATTTATCACAGTGATAAGGTATTGCATTTCAAACGGTACAAAGCACTAAATATATTTTTGTGTTCGTCCTCAATATGAGGCCCCGGGGCTGTAGCCCCTGAATCCCCTTCTCGCAGTCCTTTCAGTTGCCACGAAAAAAAAATCCATTCCTGAAATTGAATGACGACCACGAACTGTGACCGTTCATTGGCTCGCAAGGGAACGGGCAAAATCGTCGCTGTCCTAATACACAGGAGCCCAGGGGTTTCCCTTCTACGTGTGAGCAGGGTTGTCAGGATCATTTCGCGACGCCACTATATGTCATACGATATATAAGCCAAGCCAATCGTATTATGCGTTTTGTAAAACGCATTGTGTTGCATACCGTGGCTTGTCTTTTTTATATTGCGTTTCCTGACGAAATGTTTAAGTCATAAAAACAATACTGATCGTCCAGAATGATAATTCGTTAAACAAATCGTACACAATTTAACATGTGAAATCCAATTACAATTGTATTGGAAATGGTTATCACCGTAATCGCAGTAATCGTCAAATTTGAAATCTTTTTGTGAAAAATGCTACCGTGGTGACCATAGTCCTCATACACGGGGGCCCAGGGTTGCTCTGGTTGGTGATGACTCCCGGACATAGTCAAAGATCCCCCCTGTAGTCTGCACAGGCTGTTGGGGCAAGTGCTGTTAGTGAGCTGCAATGAACTCCCACGCACGCACATCCATAATTGGTATGCGGCGGTGGCCTTGTGCTGCTGCGATGGCTCCGTCACATCACCATCTGCTCCAGCAACGTCTCTTTGCACCGGGGGTTGATGTTACATCCCAGGCATCCTGTAATCCGTATGGTCATTGTACATTATTACCCAAGGGCCATGCGCTGTGACCTCTACTGCTGCCTGCTCACCCCCCTTCCCCCATCGCTTCATTTCTCACAACAGAAATGCTTAGCTCACTGGATTTGCAATCTGATTCGATCTTGCCGCTCGGCAGTTGAAACGATACGGCATGCTTCTTAAATACCCCTGCCACTGTCCACCCAGCAGTGGAAGTGGGCACAGTGCGTTGATTTGATTGGCTGGTCGTCTGTGAATCAACGTGCATTTAGAGTATTTGGCTGTGATACATTTCCACGTGATGAGCCACTTCGTTGAGCCATCATTTGTGGCCAGGTCGCTTCTAAAAACGAGCTATAATAGCTCAGTGGGCCTTACCTCGTAAAAGAAAATAGTTTACATCATGGGACCTCCTTTGCCAGTACCAAAATTTGAGAATAGGTTTTCTCCTTTTTTCTGGCAACAAAACAGGTGTTAATTTGTTAAAACACAAAACTGAAACCTTTCACAAAAGCCTCATGTCTGCATTAACCACAATACTTGTGGTCAGAATGCAAACAAAAAAACATACTCTGATAATATATGCACACCAGAGACAGCTTTCTTTCGAGCCTTGTCTAGAGGACGCCAAAAGGAAAAATTTGAGACAGATGCCATACAGGCATCCACCCTACGTCCCTCCTTTTGGAAGAGGTACATAGATGCAGGGGCGGTTTCTTCATTAGGGCGATTGGGCGACGCACCACCAAAGTGTGAAAGGGACTTTTTCAATCACATTCAAAATCTCATTCAACCAGAGTTACACTAGCCGTTACTGTGCCTCTGGATATAGTCCAATCAGCGTCATGTCACGTTCTGTGGAGTACCGCCTCTTTTTGGGCGATTTCACTCTGGCTGAGAATCGCCCAGAGTGTTCCCATAGACTTACATTCAAACATGCTTTTTTTTCGAACGGCGGGCGCTGCAATGCATTCTCTATGGCTTCCGAGAGGGCTCGCACTAACGTGCTTACGTCATCATACGTAAGCACGTTTCTGTCAACAATATTATTTGTCGCCACCTAGTGGAATCTTTAATAAAATAAACTGAGTGGATTGTAATAATAGTGAGTATAGAAACAAACAAGGAGATGTATTGTAAGAGTCACTTTATTTTTCATTAATATTAAAGTAGTGAAGTTGCCTTTACATGCTTAAGCTGTTAATTTATCCATTGCATGGGTGGACCTTATCCTTATCAATCATCCAGACATTTGCCCCCCCTGAGAGATTTTGCAGGAGCCACCACTGCATAGATGACACGTTCGTCATCTGGTCACATGGCCTACCAGCTTTGGACCAATTCTTCAACCACATCAATTCCATACACCCAGCCATGAAATTAACCATGGAGGTGGAAAAGGATGGCAAGTTACCATTCTTGTATGTTTTAATCGAAAAGAGACCAGATGGTTCATTGGGACACTCTGTTTACAGGAAAGCCACCCATACGGATGCCTACCTAAAACCTGACTCCCACCACCATCCAGCCCAGAATAATTCCCTCATCAAAACTCTATACCATATAGCTTGATGTATTTTGAACCATTACCACAAAGCCAGTGAACTGAAACACGTACACCAAGCCCTCAAGAAGAATGGATATTCAGATTACACATTCCGTAAAGCTATCACCCCAACTGTTGGGAAAAAAAAACTATCTGAGGAACCAATCAAAACAAAAACTTGCCATACATAGCAGGGGTCACCAAAAATATTTCCAAAATCATGAGCAAACACAAGATCCAGGTTCGATTCAACACAGTACGTAAAATTCGTGATTTGATCCCATCTGTGAAGGATGTGATCCCTGACATGCAATACCCCAGCGTCTACAAACTAAGCTGTGTCTGCGGCAGTGGTCACATTGGGGAAACTAAGCGACATGTCTCGGACCGTGTTCGTGAACATGAGGCAGATCTGAAACACGGCAGGACCAATAGCTCAGCTGTGTCTGATCATTGTTTTAACGCTGTGGGCACACACGAAATTGATTTTTCCAAGATGAAGGAACTCTGCCAACTCACTGGCTATCAGCAAAGTTTCGTTAATGAAGCCATCCAGATATATTAACACAGACACAATCTCAACCGAGAAGATGGGTACAAACTCATTGGAAGGACGTTATTAACCAGGTTAAGTCATAACTGTCTGTGATGTTTAGTAGTTATTTTCGACTTTCTGGTGTTACATTAACATGTTAAATGTCTCACTAACACAGCCACCGTTGCTCGTTTTCCTTGATGTGTCGGTGGCTCTCCGATCTTACATTGACATGCTAATCTCTCACAATACAATGGCCACCTCTGCAGCTTCGTCGTCGTGGAGGTAGCTCAGCTCTCCGATCTTACATTGACATGCTAATGTATTCACTAGCCCCGCCCACTTCACTTATGACCCTTGGGCTACACCCATCTCAAACCTATATAACATCCTACCTCAGCAGCTATCTCGCTACTTTTGACCTGATGACGATTGCTTGTGTTGCGATTGAAACTTCGTGATAATTTTATTATTTTTTCTATCTACGTGGCTTTACCGAAAGACCCAAACAATATTAATTCCTGCAGTCACGAAAGCTTTAAGTCAACATCTTAACACCTGTTTTGTTGCCAGAAAAAAGGGGGAAACCTATGCTTAAAATGTTTTGTTAATAGTTAGTTCAACTAAACTAAACTATGTCGTGATTGTGAATAGTTAAACTATATAGTGCTGAAAGTGTGGGGACTCCCACGTCTTCCAAGACATCGCGCTGACATGGAAAAGTAGGCCAAATACGCTAAAAGAGTAGGCTAAATATTCGATAAAGAGTCGCCTTCTGCCAGCAGTGGTATGAATAGAGCTGCACATTTCCCTTGTACATTGAAGCCCCTTGAAGCCAGACTAACGGGAGGTGGGGGTGAGCCTTTCTGATTTGTGGGAGATGTCAGGCAGTCTGCAAAAGATTTCAACTTTAGAAAATCATATTATTTTTAATTACGCACACATTTATATTGGCGCATCTAAGACATTTTATTAGAACTCAATATCAATCTAAACATGCAGGATTTTAAAATGTTACAATAAAAAAAAATCACCACCATACAAGTGAAGCACAAAAGCTAAGCTTCACTGGATGCGAAAGGTTGAATTAATTTTACCAACGGGCTTGAGGCATTAATTTAGTTTATTTGTAAAGTAAACATACAATAAGTGTGAAAGAAATGAGGGCGCAATAAGAAAGGACGTGGCATGCAAAGGAATGGATTCCTCAATTTCATACGACAGATATGAGTGCGTAGCATTACAATTGCTCTTTCACTTGCACACAATGTCTTCTCCCGTACAGAGATTAATGAGCACGCATACGACATATTCCGGTCAAAGTTTTAGTTTTGTTTTATCTTTTCAATAGTTTGATGTATCTATTCAGGGAAGTCCTTCTGGCTTAACCCAAAATTCTGGCTTCCTTGAGCATGCTTTGGAGAGGTATTCACTTTGTTCCTCACTTCTGTATTCCCTTGCAGACTTGGAAAGTTTCCGGAGCAAGCCCCGGGGCACGGTGGCCGTGAGACAGGGCCAGGGAGTGGTGCTCATATGTGCTCCTCCACCCTATTCTGGCGGTAAATGAATGCTCCCTGCTTGCCACTTTCCACGCACTATCAACGCCGGAAAACCCGGAGGACGGATACAGCACCAAGCTTTGCCAAATGAGGGTCAAAGGCAAAGAGAGAAAGTCCATTATTTTTTAGTCAGCTTGAATTTCTAGAGTATGTTTATTATCAGGTTTTATTTTGGCACAAGAAAAAATCCCATTGGGCAATAAATACTACTTTTCGATGGGGAATTGGTTACAGAAATCTGGTTACAGCAAAAAGACACGAACACAATCATCAAAGTAAAACTGTACATGGGCATGTTCTGAATGTTAAAGCCATGCATCAACATGGTTCGACAAGCAATACAAGTCGAATTTGACACATCACACATGTTTTGTTTTATAATTCAACGTCTGAGAAGCAGAGAGATCAATTGCACGTACAACTTGAAAGACAATTCTATGCACACAAGTGATTTAAAGTTGGAAAAAGGTGGTTACGATTTGTATCCCATACATCCCTCCAAGATTATTCCAGAGATCACGAACAGCCTCCCGGAAGCAACTCAAACCCAGTTTGTTTCTCTTATATTGGGGGACTTCGAGCAGGAACAGAGAGTAGCTGCTAAGGATGCAGAAATTGGCCTGTGGGATTAAACGATCCGGAATATATTTAGCAGATTTTTTTAAAACACTTGAAAGGGTGAAAATGGCTCGATGCTGCGCCCTGCGTAGATGACAGAGCACATGCTGCCCAATCTGGCACGAAGCACTGGAGACTTTGGCACGCTGTGCCCATCAGCCAGCAATGTTGCACGCTGTGGAAGTAAATCGAGCGAGACTCTTTATTTCAAATCAATATTTCACAATTTAAATATCTGTAAGGAAAACGGTGCAGCTTCGGCTTCGTTTTAGGTGTCAACGCTTTCAGGAAAGTTACCGATATAATGCTGCTGTGAAATTTCGATTGAAAGCTTTCGTGACTGCAGGGATTCATCTTCTTGGTTTTTTCGGTAAAGTCACGTAGAAGGGAAGTAATAAAATAATAAAAATAAACATAATAAAATAATTATCATGACGTTTCGGCCACAACGCAAGCAGCCGTCCTCAGGTGAAGAACAGGTCAGACGCTGAATGAATTCATTCAGACGCTGTCTCCCCGACAGACTTGGTCTTCACCTGAGGATGGCTGCTTGCGTTGTGGCCGAAACGTCGTGAGAATTATTTTATTATGTTTTATTTGTATTATTTGATTACTTCCCTTCTACGTGACTTTACCGAAAGAACCCATATAATGCTGCTGTGGTTTCAATAACGGTTCGCAGCACACTGGTGGTCCAATCTGGAAATCTCCGGTAAAATTTGATCTCCCTGCATGGTAGTTGAAACAATTGCGTGAGATTATTTATTCCCCCGCCTCCATCCACCCAGCAGAATAAAGGGGTACACCACAGTTAATCGATCGGCAGGGCAATTGTGGTGCGAACAAGCCTCTTCTAATACTAAGGGGAAGGATCAGCCTGCCTTGCTATAGCTTGAGCCATGTGGCCTCTTGTGTTCCAGCTCTTTGTTGCATATGGGCTTTATGGATAAAAATATAGATACACGCCTACATCGTCATGATTAAAGTTCATCTCTGCTGTTGGGGGATTAGAGGTGAAAGGGTTAAGAGGGAGGCTGCTGTTTTTGTGTGGCACATATCGACCTGGTATCTGTTGCGTTTCTGAGATGCCAAGTAATTTGAGGCTTGCCCAGAGGTTTTAAATCCTGTAGGGATTTCATTTCCTTTGCGCTTGAACCCATCTGATGAATCATGCACGGTGGCGTCAATACTATCACGTAATGCCAGTGTATTCTCGATCAATATTGAGCAGAATGTGAAATTATTTGTGGCCGCGTCCGACCGAAAGCACCGTTTCGCTGCAGATGATAATTTAAAAAAATGACGATGATGAATTTCACGGCAGGATAATTCATTTACTAAAGCTCTGAGCTAATTTGCATCACAGCTCAGTAAGCAAATTACAATATGCATCAAATTACATCTAGATTGTTTATTTGGACAAATGCACCGGCACATCCTGATTGCACATAAGCGTTATTCAACAAGTTATGAAATTTGTGATTTAATTGTCTTTCTTACATTTGTATTATTTAACAACGAAAATAATGCGTGTTATTTGAAGTAAGGTTTCATATGAACTCCATTTTTTACGTTAAATTGTTAACTTTGCGACACATGTTTTCGTTCAACTTTCCAGGGGACATAAAATCGTGAAATCAGTTGAAGGACAATTGCAAACACAAACAATAAATATGGCTCCACCGATTAGCACGGTTGGCTACGTACGGCGTGAAAACAGTTCAACATACATACAATGTAAACGTTGCATTTGTTCTAATCAAATATTCAGTTGCCCTCTAACCCCAATCTCCAACCTTCTAGAGAAGCAAAGAGGGCGGGTTGGGAGTGGGGGTGGCAGGGAAATATTTTCTGGAGCTCAGCCCTAGGCAGTGTGCGCTGTGTGAAAGGTCGAAAGGTCAGCGTGGGGCTGACCTCTTTTGCTCTTCGTCCACAGAGCTGACGTTTGTCTGGCTCTTCAACGAGATGTACGACTACATGCGTTCGGACGGGCGGCGCTTCGTGTCGCAAGTGACTGGAAACCTCTACATCGCCAAGGTGGAGGCGACCGATGTGGGGAGCTACACTTGCATGGTCCACAACACGGTGACCAACACTCGCGTCGCCAGCCCTCCGACTCCTCTCCTCATCAAGTCTGGAAGTGAGAGAGGAGGAAAAACGTCCCTCTGTTGTTGGCAGTTTTTTGTCGTTGCATGGCAAAAGCGAGCAGGCGATACCAGGCTCACACATCACCCCCCCCCCCCACCCCAACCGCCCCTATTTAAGTGGTTCATTTAATTTAAAATAACTGGCTACCTCCAGCCCCAGCCCATGGTTGGCTGTTTGTGCACAGGCTGGCCTGCTGGAATGTTCCACGTCACGTCGCGGGGATGACACCTCGGCTTGAGCCACCGTGGGTGTTGGCTCTTGTAATCTTTGTATCACCTTGGACTGTGGTGGCGCACGTATATTGCAGGGGAGGCAGGGTAGGGTTTGACGTCCACTTTAATTGGCTTTAGGACACACGTTGGGATCGAAGGCCACTTGGCTGGGGAACGTCATCCCCGTGACGGCCTTGCCAACGCAATGCTCAGCATACTGAGGTTGCACTTACCATATGTCTGTGAATATGTTAGCGACGGCAGGACATAAACTGGTCACTCCGCTGCGACAGTGCCCACTGAGCCGTGAATGATTTTCCCCCGAGTCAAAACATCTCTGAAATAAAAAAATAATAGGCAATATCTCGCCCTAACATGAAATCCGCAATACTCCACAAGTTTGCTGGATATAAGCACACCTCTTGAACGTTAGGATAGCTGTGCTTATATCAGAACTGTGCTCAAATAATGAAAAAAATAAGAATGGGAAAATGGCAAAAAGGCCCCATACATATGTGCTTTAATAAGGTGAGCTTATATCCAACTTCAACTGTAATTGCAATTTATTGTCCATTTTTCACTTCGCTGTTGTATGAAGGCCTTTTTACACCTGTGGTGTCAGCTTCGTCATCGGAGTTGTTTTGACGACGTTTCGGCACCACTCACTGCCACGGGTGCGGTGTTAACTGAGGCCAGAAATAAAACATACGTTGCAGGCTTCATGTCATGGTGCGCCTGCCACTGCACCATCATTCCTCTCCACTCCATAACAACAAAAATCAATAGGTTATTTTATATATATATATATTTTAAAGCTGCCTGGTTCATAGGTTTTGTTTGAATTATCTTGCAGGAAGCATGGGGGAGTACGAACCGAGAATCGAAGTGGGCTTTTCACCAAAGACTCACACCCTGCTGGGTCACACTGTCAGGCTGGAATGTTTTGCTCTCGGAAAGTAAGTCCAATTAATTATTGAAACATATCACCTACAGCTTTGGCGGTGGTAGTGGTAACCATTACGTTCCCAAAAAGCCACGATGGCTGCAAATCGTGACAGACGATACAGAGGTGTAATGGTACACCGTGAATTGCCAACCACTGCCAACGTGAATGTAGTCATCTGCAAGTAATGGATTTGTCTTTCTGGTAAAAAAAAAAATGTTCCAAGGTGACTATGCCTACGCATCAATGCAGTTGCTATTTCCATTCTCACTCTCAAACACCCACCGGCTTCGATAGCGCATTTGCACATTTGCAGTCATTGATTTTCCCGACGTAATGAGGTGGACAGCCAGGAGTGAGGGAGCGTGACGAGATCAGGCGTGTCACCCAGAGCGTGTCACAAACACAGACCACGTGCAAGAGTGTGACGCTTGTTACGCAGTGGTTCTACAGACATCCTTGCCGAATGTGGACCCTTCAGCTGCATTGTAAATCGGAAAGCGCACCTTAATATTCGACGTAAAACAATCAAAACCTTGCGCTCATGTTTTGCTCCCAACTCTACAGTGCACCACGTTATAGAATTAAGCTTTCGTAACCGCAACTTATCGGTGAACGCAAGCACATTAGATACGTAGTAAAACAATTCTATTATTCGTTATTTTCCTTCTGTTTTTAAATCCTTTATATTAAGTTCACTTGCTTGCTTGCGCGCTTACGACCGTGCAAATCTTTCGGTCGTTTTTTAACCCACTTCCCGTGATCCAATCGAGCTGACATTTTCCACACAGACTCGTTGTGCGTGACAATTTATTTTCGTGAAAATATTTTCCCAAAATTTTCCACTTTTTAGGAAAAAAATAATTTCACATTTAATTTAAAATACCAATGTGATAAAAATGAAACTCTTACTCAAGAAAAACAGAAATGAATAATAAAATAAAACCGATGCCACGCATATAAAGGATTTTTAGTGAAAAACTTAGTTTTTACGAGTTAATTTTTACATAGGTGAGTTCCATTAAGCCCCACGCAGCACATGTACAACGAGACACTCCTTCTCGCTGGAGGATGAGAATCGGAATCCCCTTCGGCAATCGCGCCACGACACTGCCACGTTGATGGCTTACTCTTGCAGATACCACGGGGGATACGTTGAGGTCCCGTAGAGAGTGTCACAACAGCGGGCTCCAATCTTCCTCTGAGTATGAGGCCCCTGTTGACAACGCACCTGGCGACACGTGAGTGACGCCAACGTGGGACATCAAACCAACACTCCTATGCCTCAGAGCTTCGCAGGCGCGTGAGACGGACCGGCCACTCACCCCAACCCAGCCACTGGCTATGTCTATGTATAAAGATCTAATTGCTTAAAACGCCTCCAACCTAAGAGCAGGCTTGTGCTTAGCATTCGCAATGATGGATTTATTTTTTTGGCTGCGCAAGCGATGGCTGTTTGGAACATCGCAGTCGACATACATATGCCTTGCCGCGAGCTATTTACTGCTTGTTGCTGCTTGCAAAATGGTTATCAAATTAACCACCGCGCAATAATTTTTTTTTTATCAGGAAGGCTTTAGCACTGCCAATTAAGGAATTAGATTAAATGGACGCGGTTTTGTTTGTTAATGAGGTGCAGGACATCGCGAAAGGAGAAGCAATATACAACTGACACTTGCATCAGAAACGTATCGATTTCCTTTCCCCAGCCCCGTGCCCGTAATATCGTGGAGGAAAATAGACGGACAACTACCAAGTAAAGCATATCTGATGGAAGCGAATGCAGTTTTGGAGATACCCAATTTCCAGCACGAAGACGGTGGCAATTATGAGTGCAATGCAGAAAACGTGGCCGGAAAAAACTCTGCTCAAGGGAAAATAACAGTGTACGGTAAGATGCGTCATCCACCTTCACAAAACCAACACGGACATCGATCTTTGTTCAATCGGTTTTTTTTTATAAAAAAAATCATGCAAACATTCTGAGAAATATCTGTGAGATGAAGCAGCTCCTTTTTACATGTGCCCTGGAGCGATCAGTGGGGGTTACATTTTAAATTGCATTTTATCTTATGTTTTATCCTACGTTTTATCTTACGGTTTGCGAGCATGGTATTTCCAGTCGATTGGTCAGTGCACTTTAGTGAATCGGGGGATGAGGGGGTGAGCGAATAGAACCCGGCTTTGAAATCACTCACCAACTGATGTTAACCGTGGCTGAAAATGAAGCTGCACTTGTTCGATTCATAGCACAGCACGCTATTCCCTGTACTCATGCTCCACCATGTAAGCTTCATATTCACGGTCAAATGCCTCCGATGGCTGAACACAATACTTTCCCAAAATGCATTGCTGTCCCGGTCGTTATATACGCGTTGTCGGTCTGATTCCTCGGCATTGTTTGGGTTTGGTTTCAACCGAACACAACTCTCCCATCCAACACATGGTGGATACACGTGGCTCACATGAATTCCTCCACTCAGTTGTGCGCGGTGAATGAATGCCACTGTCTTAGAACCACCACTTCATTGAGCGCACCCTCGTGACAAGCGGCGCAGTTACGTTTTTTTCAAAAGTGCCGACCGGGCTCTGGCATCATCGATCAGTGCCGATCGTGTGCAGTTGCCAAGAACATCTCCGCGGTTCTTCCGTGATCAATGCTCACAATGATTGGGCTCCGTTTGTGCATTAAACGTGCATGTCTCCATCGCTTGCGGAATCCCAAGTCGCCATCAGAGTGCACAGCGCAGCTATCATCAAAAGTGGGGTGGAAGTGGCACTCTGACAAAAACATCGCTCCAATGAATCTTAATTTGGAGCTTTCGTGACTGCAGGAATTACTCTTTGGTTCTTTCGGTAAAGTCACGTATAAAGATAAAATAATAAATTAAATAATAGCATACGACGTTTCGATCGCAACACAAGCAATCATCATCAGGTATAAATGAAATAGCAACAAAAATCTAACCAGAAAACTATAGACTGACATATAAGCATTACATTACATTTCGATATTTTGCTAGGTTATTTAATTTAGTGTGTCTCTCTTCCGTTCTCCTAATTTTCAAGCTTGCGTACCTTACCACGCGTCTTCCTACTCATTGACATGCTAATTTTTTCTCTAACCCCTCCCTCTCTCCGCCCCCGCCCCCCTCTCTCTATTTAAGGCCTCGTCACAGAGACGTTCTCTCTCTGTGTGCCTATGTGTGTTCTCTCTCTATGTATCTTTGTGATATCTGTCTGCTTATATGTCTGTCTATAGTTTTCTGGTTAGATTTTTGTTGCTATTTCATTTATACCTGATGATGATGATTGCTTGTGTTGCAATCGAAACGTCGTATGCTATTATTTAATTTATGATTTTATCTTTATACGTGACTTTACCGAAAGAACCAAAGAGTAATCGCTCCAAAGGCAATGGCACGCACGAAGCCCACACCTTAACCCTACGGAGCCATTACGGGATATGTTTGATCAGTTCGGTACCACAGCGTATCATGCAAACAATATTAAACCAGGTGCGTGGTGCTTTATTCCACGTAGCGTGAATACGTCCATATGTGCTGTTACGTGCAATTACAGAGGTCGCTGGTTCGATTGCCCAGCAGCAGTTGAAACAATGGGGCGAATTTCGTCTATGCATCCGCGTCTCTCTGTCCAGTTTCATGAATTGCAGGGCTGCACATTTACCTTTGACACATGCGAAAGGAAGTGAAGCGGCAGTGATTTGTGCACTGCGCTATGAACCTGGTAATATGAGTTTGATTCCTGGGAACGCCTAACATCAGAGGCGAGTGTTATCCGAATCAAGTCTGAGCCACCTTTTCACTAACACGCATTAACCAGCATGATGAAGTATAGTCAAACAACCCCTGTGACAGCTACGGCTTAGGGAGGAGGGCTTCATCCACCAATGCATTGACAAAGGGCTGTAAACTGTTCATTAATTAAACACAATCTGTAGAATATTATCGACATCAAAATTCATAACTGTTGGGCCACATTGGCACTGATCTAAAAGTCCAACTCTCCACTCACTGCTTGAATTCGCCTTCATGAAATTGAGTATGAATAATTGTGGTCATGTGTTTTGTTGTCGGTTATGACAACAGGATTTAGGTGCTTCTTTTATATTTTCAGCTATGATAAAGTTAACATTTAGCTTAAGCTATTACGTAAAACAAGTTTTGTTTGTTGTTTTAATCGTACAGTTGAAGTCATGTAATTTTTTTCTACTGAGTTGTCGAATTTCTTTATCACCCATGGGGCTAATGTATAATTTCATTAAAAAAAACTCAAATTTTCAATGCGCCTTTGTAAAATGTAACATATATTATGATGTATGATAATTAAAAGTGAAAGAAAGAGGCAGAAGATTGTGTGTTGAGCCCAGAGGCCTAATCCCATTTCCTATCAGACTAAAACCTACCGCAAACATTTTTTTGATTTGTGGAGCCAAGTGAAACGTTTAATGTGCTGGCAAATGAACTGTTACATTAATCACATCTTCCACGCATAAGTAGGGAGAATGCAACATGTGCACATGAGAATGTGATATTAATCAAACCGCGGATGGCGGCTGCTGTTAAATTAAGATGTACATTATGTTTCATGCACTGGCAAGCCAATATGAAAATTGCGAAATCAGATGCACGGAAGAGTTACCGATCCGTGCCTCTTAAAGAATAATTAAAATAGCTAATTAGCATTCGGTGACCTGCTAACACAATTATACAGTCTTGATTTGAAGTTTTCGTGACTGCAGGAATCCATACTCTTTGGTTCTTGCGGTAAAGTCACGTAGGTAGAAAAAAAAATCACTATTTATTTTATTTTTCGACCTACGTGACTTTACCGAAATAACCAAAGAGTACAATTATACAGCTTTTACATTATTCCACATACATGCTTTGTAGGCTTTTGTTCAGGGTTACACACACACGTGAAATTAATCCAATTATAAGGTACAATTACAACACATATCTTACTTTAACTCTATAATGTAACTGCTCGCATTATGGTGAGCAGATTCATGGTTTAGTTTATTAATGTCACGTGGTCAAACAGCCTGTAGCTTTAGCATTGTTCCTCGTTTCCAGGTTATATATTTTCTCTCTGAAGAATTAAATGATTGTCACGTAACAAATCGACAATATTGCACGAACATGAATGCATGCTCAATAATAAATTCCCTGCAGTGCAAGTCGGCTCGGGAAGATTCATTTTAGTCTGATAATAGTCCAATTGAAAATTCACTTACAGAAACATGAAACAGGGTGACTATTGTACTCATATGTAAGCAGACATGGCTTTATGTCAAACGGAATTGCAAGCTAAGTTATCATAAATTATCGATAGTTCAGTATCAAATTGTGATTTGGTTTGTATAGTATTCAAGGATTTGAGAATAGGTTTTCCCTATTTTCTGGCAACAAAACAGGTGTTAAGATGTTAAAACACCAAACTGAAACCTTTTACAAGGAATCATGCCTGCATTAACCACAATACTTGTGGTCAGAATGCAAACAAAAAACATACTCTGATAATACATACTCTAATATTAAGGATAGTTGAAGTGATGGAATTCCAGGTGTTTGAGGCAGTAACAGCAAATGAGTGACAACCATCCGAGTTTATTTTTTCTTCTTCTTGGTACAATGCACTTTAGTCTTGTGGGGCATTTAAAATGTTGATGGTTGTGGTCCTGAATAAACACAGTGGACAGGTCATAGACCGAGTTGTGTGTTTGTGCATTAAAGATGAGCATGGCCCAACGAGTTTCCCTCCGAGTTGAAAGAGGGCGATCACTGATCTTGAAGTAAAGATCACAATCATTGAGTGGAGTTTTTAGTTAGTATGATAAAGCACAAGGCCGAATCAACGATAAGATTCGGCAAATCCAAAGTGGTTTAAAGGTTGATTGGTATTTGAGGTCAGCATAGTCCATGATAGGCATATACTGTATGTAGACGCTATCAGTTGCCCGTATAGTAGATGAGAAATAGGATTTGTTTTTATACAAAGCCCCAATCTTAATTATTCAATCACTAGTCACGGTCAACATCGGGGATGATATTTTAATCCAGCCATGGCCCTCTTTTATTTTGGCTCAGCTTCAAACGAGAGTTGTGCGCCGTGTGTAAACACCGCCACTGGGGCGGACATATTTTTGCTGGGCCTGGTGGTGACCAACACCACACACCTTGATAATGGATAATTGTTTTTTTACCCTTTATCTGGCAACAAAACTGATACCTTTTTTACGAGGAGTCATGGTTGCATAGACCACAATACCTGCAGTCATAATTCAAAAACAAACATAACTCTGATAATGTTTGCACTGTCCTTGAAGTTGTTTGGTCCATACCCGAGACAGCTTTCCTTAGAGCCTAGTCTCACATGGTGTTGGACCAGATGACGCCAAAAGGCGTGCCACGTGCCGGCATCCATAGCTGCTCGCTAACGCCATTTGCTTCGATGCCCTGTGTAGGCCCACGTTGAGGATTTTCGTCGTTGGATGTGTTTATGTCAGAGTATAAACGCACAACGATATTGGGTGTGGTGACTTACATTTGTAATCCATAACATTAGAGGCATCACGAGTTGGTACATCACACGCAGTTGTGAAACTCCCACACCTATTCAGATACAAGGTGACCAATAGGTTTCAGTAAAATTGGTAGATTCAATGCATCTGTGTGGAGCTTTCATAGTTATTCTTTCATATATGTGTGTTTTCTCGGATTTCCACTCACAGGCCAAGCACACATTAATGGAATTGGTCAAACATCCTAATGCAGGATCCTTAAAAAAAGTATTGATACCGAGTGATGCTTCTTTGTAGATGTGTTTTAAACGAGACCATGTATTTGGCGGTAGGTTTGAGACTGTAGTTAAAGAGTGAAGATTTAATGTGGTCTCAATACAGTATAAATCCCAGTTTTGCATCAGCAGCTCTTGTTAAAATTCCATTTGATTCAAGAAGAAAATAATGCTGAAATGTAGCATAGTAAGTTGGGACAAAAATTATGATGACAAAGCAGCTAAGGGGAAGGTTGTAGTACAATAAAACACTAAAGTAAAGGACCATTGATCAAGAACATCCAGATATACTGCATGAGAGACTCGGTATAAATATTCAGTGAGGATGACAAGATAGTATGAGAAAGGCCTTTGTAAGTCAACTCTGCTTAATGAAAGTTACATGAATAAATGCATTAAGTTGCCAATGCATATATTTAATCAAGCAGTTCACAATACACCTAATTAAAATCAATTAAAATGTCATTTAAAATATTTCAATTAATATTCTTGGTTCTTTCGGTAAAGTCACGTAGAAGGAAAATAATAAAATAATAAAAAATTTTAACTATAAAATTATCACGACGTTTCAACTACAACATAAGCAATCATCATCAGGTGTGAAATCCACAGCAAGAAAAATTGAAAAAAGTGGAGTTTTTTTATTTTCTTAACGTCAGCACCACGGACAGCGATTTTTTTAAAACCAAGAATATGAATCCCTGCAGTCACGAAAGCTTTAAATCAAAATTTATCTCATTTAAGTTTTGTAATAGTTAAAATCGTCTTTACTCTTTCCATGCATAGCGCTCAAATAAATCAAATTATTTTTCTGTCATTGTTTGCTGTACTCACTTGGATGTCAGCTGCTCCAGTGCTGAGTGGTTGACGTTGCCCCACATGATCCATGTTTTGACGTATTGTGTTTTTTCTTTCCATGGTGTTTTCGTACCTATTATAAGGTGTTCATTTTATGAATTTGAAGATGTTTGTGTGGACGTCAAAATGTTTCGCGTTTTGAGATGTAATTTGCTTAAATGACGCGAAATTAAGCAAATTATTACTTAATTTTAAAAAAATCCACTTTTGCCTCGCGTTTAAAACAAAACGAAGGGCATATGGCTAATGAGTCGAAATTACTCTTTCTCAAGACGGTTAAAGAAAATGTACACAAGTAAAATTATTTGAAAAATGCACGCGTGATATTTCCCCCCCAGCTCCCCCCCACTGGATCCAGCCCATTGGTAATGTGGAGCAGGGCATTGGAGACAAGCTGTCCTGGGACTGCAAGGCGGGAGGGAAGCCCCCTCCTACTTACCGCTGGCTCAGGAATGGAGCGCCCCTGCCATCAGAGGTACCTTGAACACTCTTGCCTCCTTCATTTTCTCTTGACTTCTGATCCCATCTAGTCTTGGGATCCTTGAGATCCATCTCACTATCCTCATTTATGTGGTCCACATCTACTACTTTAGGCGAATTCAAGCAGGGAGTGGAGGGTTGGACTTTTAGATCAGTGCCAATGTAGCTAAACAGTTATGTATTTTGATGTTAAACATATTCTACAGATGATGTTTAATTATATGAACAGTTTACAGCCCTTTGTCAATACATTGATGGATGAAGGCCTCCTCCCCAAGCCGTAGCTGTCACAGGGGTTCTTTGACTATACTTCATCACGCTGGTTAATGCGTGTTAGTGAAAGGGTGGCTCAGACTTGATTCAGATAATAATCGCCTCTGATGTTAGGCGTTCCCAGGAATCAAACTCATATTACCAGATTTATTCCAGTGTTGTTTATGGCTTTGTATAACAACCCATGTCTAGGACTGATCGCCAAAGCACAGCCTTGGCTGAAGCTGATTTAATGTATTCAATGCCTCCGCTGCATTGCACTGAGGTTCACGATGGTTCAATAATGTCATCCGTGTTCTGGTCAAGATTTCCACAGTTGCAATACACCAGGGATTCTTTCACGTTGCTCTTGAGTAGCTGCACGCCTGTTGAACTTCTTTCGCATCGTACGTAGCCAACCATGCTAATTGGAGGCGTGGTGGAAGGGCAACAGGCCAAACACAAAAAACCAGGTGGTCACATCTAACATGGGCGCGATATGGGCTATGCGGTTCAGTCTGCGCCCACTGATCCAACCCAGCGGGTTCGATGGTCGGGTCGGTGTGGAGACACTTTGTTGGGGGCATTTCCGTTTCTTCATAGTCGTCGCCATCATCGATCTTTAGCTTTGAAACCCAGAACACTCCGGGGCCTTGGTCGTATTCGAGACGGGTTTTCACGATGATTTAAGTTGGTAGATTTCTTCATGGAGCGGTCAGTTTGGCTTCCTTTGAATGCAATGATACTGTATCCAATTTCAGTATTTGGTTTGTCCATTTCAGCTTTTAATGGAGCTAAAGAAAGGCTTGTCTTGTTTTGTTATTAGAGCAAAATCTTTGGACAATATTCCGTCGTTATAAAAAAAATCAAATGCTTTTTTTTACGTGAAGGAGTAAGCAGGCGTGTTGTCTGCTTGTTAATTGTCTTACTCGTCTTCCCCACAAAAACAATAATGTTTCTGGTGCCTTCTGTATTATTTAGTTTCGTGTCAAACTCTAACCAACATGCAATCGAGTGGGTCTCTGTTTCGATTTAAAGCTTTCGTGACTGCAGGGATTCATCTTCTTGGTTCTTTCGGTAAAGTCACGTAGAAGGGAAGTAATAATATAATAAAAATAAAACATAATAAAATAATTCTCACGACGTTACGGCCACAATGCAAGCAGCCGTCCTCGGGTGAAGACCAGGTCTGTCGGGGAGACAGCGTCTTCACCTGAGGACGGCTGCTTGCGTTGTGGCCGAAACGTCGTGAGAATTGTTTTATTATGTTTTATTTTTATTATTTTATTACTTCCCTTCTACGTGACTTTACCGAAAGAACCAAGAAAAGGTCTCTGTTTATAAACATCTGACAGTTCGCCAGCATTGGTTTTCGCAAGCCTGACTCTGCTGGTCCAGAGTTTGCTTTTATTGAACCAGTTCCTGCTGAAAAACATTCACTCCCAATACAACGCCATCTCACCGATGGGATGGGTAAAACAAAACACGAACTAACATTTTATTTGCGTTGAGCAAGGAGGCGAATTATTTTATTCATTCCGTCGTGGAAGGCCACTTCCATATTAAACTTGTTTTTACTCATGCGTCCTTGCATGTCGAATATCTCTGCTGTATATTTGTAGGATCGTGCGAGGTGAGCGATCTTTCTATGCGCACACGTGCGCGCGTGACTTGGGAAAAAAAAACAAAGTTTGCACGTGCAATTAGTGGAGTCGCCTGACATTGACAAAAGTTTTGCCGAACGTCGTCGTGACCTTTACCTCTGAATGCCAAGCCCCAGCGGAGTGAAAAATGTACTTAGAATGCTTAGCCTAGCTTCCTGAGCTGCGTGATTGAGGGGGGGGGGGGGTATAAGGATGGGTGGCCAAGAAGCAATAGGGTGGAGGAGGGGATGAGTTGGGGAGAGGGGGGACACGTTTCTGAATACACACGGTGGTATATCCTGCGGTTACTGTGCCTGAATCTGAGCTTCGACTTTAGCATCACATATCAAGATTATCTTTTTTAATTAAATACTACTTTCTTCCCCTGCTCTGCATATGAGAGTACTGTTCATATTCTTAGGTTTTTTCGGTAAAGTCACGTAGGTAGATTTTTTTTTTTATTAATAAAAGTAAAATAAAAAATTAAATAAAAATCACGACGTTTCGGAGGCAACACAAGCTTCCATCTTCAGGTGGAACCGTCACAGCACGATAGCTGTATCAAGTGACGGTTCCACCTAAAGACAGAAGCTTGTGTTGCCTCCGAAACGTCGTGATTTTTATTTTATTTTACTTTTATTAATTAACATTTTTTTACCTACGTGACTTTACCGACAAAACCTAAGAATATGAATCCTTGCAGTCACGAAAGCTTCAAATCTAGAAGAGTACTGTTCGTTGCATAACAGTGAATCCAATACATTATATTATTTTCTTGTTTCAACCGGTTCAGGGTGGTTGCATTGTGTCCCATGTGTTTGTATGCCTCTGGTGTGGAACCGCCAGTAGATTGTGCACTTTTGTATTTGTTTAGAAGTCTATATCTTGACTTAAAGCTTTCATGGCTGCAAGAATTCATATTATTTGGGTCTTTCGGTAAAGCCAGGTAGATAGAAAAATAAAAAAATAAAACATCACGACGTTTCGATCGCAACACAAGCAATCGTCATCAGGTGAACAATTATAGCGGGAGAGCTGCTGAGGCAGAAAAAATATATTATTTAAAGAATTCCTGCCTCAGCAGCTCTTTCGCTATTTTTTTCACCTGATGACGATTGCTTTTGTTGCGATCTAAACGTCGTGATATTTTTTATTTTTTTTATTTTTCTATCTACGTGGCTTTACCGAAAGACCCAAAGAATAAGTCTATATCTGTAGTTTTCTCATACATTTTGAGATGATTACATCACATCCCCTTTTACAATAGAACACATCAGCGGTATAATTTGCATTAATTGTCAAATACGTACTATTTGGCACCTATGCTTTCGCACACGTATATGCTTAGCCTCAATAAAATATTACGAGAGACGTATGTGCTTAGGTGAATCCAGAGGTTTGTTTTTGTTGTTATTACACAAAGCCTCGCTTGGCTTTAATTGGGAAGCCGTGCTATCATCTCCCGGGTTCTGTAATGCCTTGATCTCTAATACACACACACACCACACACCACTTTCTATGGAGGGTGTAAGCTAAGCGCAAAACTAGATTTATGGACTGGGATGTGGCGCTCTTTCTTGGCTGGTGATAGCAATTTCTGAATCTGCTTGGCATAAAACAAAAATGGGGAAGTTATTTATGTATTAGTTGCGGCTTTGGGAGTTGGAGGGGCGAGGTTAGAAAGAATAAATGCTCGTTTTATTGATGGGTCTGAACTTACGAAGCCAAACACGAGGATGTGGTGGTCAGCTGTTTTGTCAATCTGTTTCTACAGGCAGAGAGCTGCGCTTGTGGTGGCATCATGCCCATTATTATTGTTATTAGCAGTGACGATGATGTATGCCCTTTGTAAAAACGAAACACTGCCTATTGTTATTTTAATGGTAATAACCATCCATTGTGCTTTTTGTTGAATTGTAATTTTTGCCAAAGGAATGAAAACGTACATGCAAATGCTGAAATGTTAATTAACGTGCCCTTATATCGTGAGCACAACAGGAAACCTAATCCATCTTTGTTTCACAGTTCCCGGGATTTAGATGCGTAATGTCATGGTTTTAATGAATTAAAATGCTATTTTACACACGTGAAGCACTTTTAATTATTGCTCCAGTCTTAATACAGCCGTGCGTTGATGACGTGCCCTGTTTGGTGCTCTCGCATGTCACCCTTTTGATCTACAGAGCAGATTCAGCGTGATGGCAAACGGAGAGCTGATACTGCAAGAGCTTCAGCCGTGGGACAGGGGCATGTATCAATGCCTGGCCGAGAATAAACACGGCAGGATTTATTCACACGGAGAACTCAGAGTAAAAGGTTAGAACTTACAATTTTTCCTTGCATATATATATTTCTTCCTGTCCCTTTCTAAGAAATTAAATTCGTAAAAAAAAACGTCAGAAGAGAAAAAAAAACCCACCCACTCTGTTCAAACTTGACACAATTCTAATATAACACGTTGAGGACAGAAAATGATTGCCGCAACGCATGCATCAGCTTGAGCCTTGTATTAATTTGTCCACTCGCTGTGTGGCGTGGGTAGATTTGATCGTATCAGGTCTACTTATATTTCTATTATTAATGCTTTTTAATACCACAAAAGGGACAAGGGGTAATTCCGGTGAAATGCAACATCTTTGGTTCTACGAAAAAAATGTCTCAACTCCATATATCACTGGCAAAGCGAATGCATTTCTTGCTGGCATTGAAAATATATGCATTGCGCAACATCAATTCACACGCTCGGAGTACAGCAGTGATGACATGCACTTTACACACTGCACACAGGACGCTGCCCCGGAGTTATGGTTGACACACTGGAGTTGCAATCCATGGAGTAATGGTTGGCACACTGGAGTTGCAATTCATGGTGTAATGGTTGACACACTGGAGTTGCAATTCATGGTGTAATAGTTGAGACACTGAAGTTGTAATCCATGGTGTAATGGTTGACACACTGGAGTTGCAATCCGCTGTGTAACGGTTGAGACATTGGACTTACAATCTAGGATGAACTGGTTTGCGCAAACTTGCAATCTGGAGGCCGCCGGTTCAATTCGATCCCCGTTCACTGAGCACTATAAATGGTTGAACCATGGCAGGTCATGTGTGGTCCAGTGAAGTGTGAGAACTCCCCACCTCTTCCAAGACGTCTGACCAGCGTAGAAAAGAAGGCCAATTGTCTTCTTGAAATGTTCTCGAGACCTCCCTCTATCGGAGGCTATTTTCACATGCAGTGACATAAATCAAGCACTTTCAGGGCCACACCTTTACCTTTTTACAGTGTGTGTAGATATATGTTTTCCAATTGGGTCTGCATTAGGCAATTTAACAAATCAGTTGTTGAACACATACAAATCTCTGTTTGTGTGTGTATACATATACATGTTTGTCTTTGCCTGTGTGAAGCCTCAGCGCCTGATTTTCGAAGCAATCCCATGAAGAGGGTGACTCCAGCTGCAAGAGGGGGCCAGGCTGTCATCAAATGTGAGCCGAAGGCCTGGCCCAGGCCCTCGTTCACATGGACCAAGGGGAACGCAATGGTCATTGACAATGAGCGGTAAGCCTTTGCCCTATCCACAAGAATCCAGTGTTTGTCCTACATTCTAAATTTGAAGCTTTCGTGACTGCAAGGATTCATATGCTTGGGTTTTTTCGGTAAAGTCACGTGGGTAAAATATTAAAATTAAAATTACTTTTATTAAGTAAAATTTTGTACCTACGTAACTTTACCAAGAATATTTACCAGTGGCAAAATATAGTAATAGGTTTTTACCCTTTTAACTGGTCCAACACCAATGGAGACTAGGCTCTAAAGAAAGCTGTCTCGGGTGTGGACCAATCAACTTCAAGGACAGTGCTTATCATTATCATCATCAGAGTTGTTTCTTTTTGTTTGAATTTTGACTTCTTGTGTTGAGGTTATTGCAAACATGATGCCTTGTATAAAGGTGTCAGATTTTGTACCAGTTAAAAGGGTAAAAACCTATTACTATTACCAAGAATATTTGTCCTACACATTCAACAAAAAAGCACAACGCACTGCCTACTAACAATGGGGCAACGTGTACGTATGTATCTATGTATGCATGTTGAACTTATTTCACACCCTAAGTAGCCAACCGTGCTAATCGGAGGTATAAACACAAATGTGGCAGTGAGAGCTTTGCATGGGGCACGAGTCAGGCATAGCAAACGGCATTAGTATGCAATCATTTCATTTAAGCCTACCGATCATTCCACTAGCTCTCAGGTCCACAGCACATATCCATAACTGGTGTGGTGTGTACCTGTGGGTGACGTGAATTTTATCACCGTGTTTTTCACTTCGTGGATTTCTTATCATCGAATGCATGATGGCGTGTATGGCTGAGCTGCGTGAGGCTTAGCTTTGTTTGACTCTTATAGAAAGCAATAAAATGAGGGAAAACATCCCATATACCGTGTTGGAAATACAATCAACATATTCGTTAATAGCACTGTGGCTTTAAAATATTTTATAATAGGTGACGTTTCAGCCAATGGCTCGTCTTCATGGCACATAGAGAAGCCAGATGGATAGAGTGGATAAGAGATGGAGACAGCACACGATACAACATTGTGCATTATAAGAATTCAGTTATGAGACATTTTCAACTATTAAAATGTTTCCTGCTAACAAATACGTACTTGAGCACCTCTGCCAATGTATTATCGACGAACATTTCCATATCTTTTTAAATCCTTTATATTAAGTTCACTTGCTTGCTTGCTTGCGCGCTTACGACCGTGACAATCTTTCGGTCGTTTTTTAACCCACTTCCCGTGATCCAATCGAGCTGACATTTTCCACACAGACTCGTTGTGCGTGACAATTAATTTTCGTGAAAATATTTTCCCAAAATTTTACACTTTTTCGGAATTTTTTTTTATACAGTATGTAATTACCAATTGCTTAATGGTGGCAGGCAATCATCTGACCCATAGGTGGCAGCCATCTCAAGCCAGAGGACGAGAGGACTCTAGCCGCCACGCATATAAAGGATTTATAGTGAAAAACTTTGTTTTTACGGGTTAATTTTTTGCAGTTTAAGTTGCGCATTGAAATGGCCCGGTATTGCATTTGCTGTATTGTGCTAGGGCTAGGCACTTTGTGGCTTCCAGTGTTTGATATTTGACATCCAGTCAAGCTGTGGTCTTCCTCTTCTTCTAGCACCTTCAAGTGTTCCCTATATCACCCTATTTGCAGATGGTCACCATTCATCCTGATCAAATGTCAGAAGATACAGTATTGCAGCTTACTCTATTTGACCTCACTTTGTAGCTTTGAATTTTGGTCTGTTTCTACTCTTTCTCGGACTTCCTTGTTCATTGCACACTCCTTCAATTACAGTTTAAGAATCCTCCACGAGACGTTTATTTAATTTGTTACGATATTGCTGATAGCATTGCAGTTTATACGATTGGACAAAAAAAGTTTACAAAAATACAAATTTTAGTTTTTCTGATATATTTACTAAATGGACACAATATGACGTGCGAGCCATGGTTTTTTGCGTCGCGCAATCATGATTTTTGTTGCTTCCTTCTACGGGATGGGCATATTTCTCTCCACGTATTTCCACAGACAGCAACATTAGCATGCTACCAACTTGTAAAGTAGAGCCGTGTTTCTTCACCTCTGCCCGTTCTTCCATGAATTTGTCTGAGCTGACAGTATGACTCGATAGATTCGGGAGAGTCCATCTGTATTCTCATTCAAGTCAATTAATATGCTCAAAGACTGAAGCAAAGGCATGCTGTGTAAGGGGGCCATGCTGAACAGATTATCTCCACCGCAGATACCTAATGACAAAACATTTAGTGCGGCTAAATTGAACGAGGTAAGAGGTCTGTTGATTGTGCTTGCCTGACGAAAGTTATCCTACTGACGACAATTTCAGGATAGCATTACATGTTGATGACTTTGGCAATTTAAATTATTTATTCGTAGAGTAAATAAATATATAACGCCGCTGTGTGTGTGTATATATAAATAAATTATCACAATGTAATGTCTAGGTACAAGCGACTGAAATGTGATTTTCCTGGTTTTGTTATGATATGTTCTCTAAATATTGGGGTACTTCACGTGTTTATTACACACACACGTATGACGCATGTTTATTACACACACACACGCATGCCAGAAGCGTGGCCTGGGTACAGCATGTATTGGGAGGCAGAGGATCGCAAAGCTTTCTTTTAGATGATTTGGGCAGTGAAAGATATTTCCTTCTATACTAGCATAACAGTGTTATCATTATTAAATTTGTTGTATATCAACTGGCGTTTATTGTTACCCTGCAACCATTAACATGTGTTTATACATATTCATAAGCGCTACACAGAGCATTGTTGTGCACAGTCCGCTCCATATTCATTCATCGGAGTTTATTGCGATTAGACAAAAGTCACCATAGCGAATGCATTTCCATCCACTTGCTGTTCACATACAAAGAGGAAACATTTCCATTTTCCATTACAGTCGTGATATTCAGATGCTAATTAGGAACAGTGTACAAGACTCATCCATTTTATCTGTTGCCAATTTTTCCTTTTCGCCGACGGTGCTTCATTAACTTTGTATGAATGCTGTTCAGCCATCTGCTATGGGTTACCATGATAAAGATATAATAATCCGACTGCTTGTGTATGATAGCGAGTACATGTTGCTGGCTAAGTCACGTTGACGGACTGTCATTGCAATTCAGTGGGTGGTCAGGCATGGCTCTGCATCGTAAGTGAGTCGGTGGAGCTGAGCCGACTGTGCTGCTGAAACGAATAACAGCAAGTCGCCCACCCCCCTTCCCTCCACCCCAACACAAAAAAAAATTGGGCTTGACATTGAGGAAAAATATCAGACTTCCCCGTGAAGACATATGTCCAGCACTTTGGCATTCATCTGGATTCGTCGGTGCTTGGTTTCATTGCCATTTTGAATCAGTGGTCCACTTACCGCTCCATTTGGCCGGAAGATATTTTGATTGCTGCCCATTGGTTGAGATGCACTTGAGATTATTTCAAAAGAATTGACCTTGGCTCAAAGCGTTATTTGCATAACAACTGCATGATTCCCCACCCCATGCTCTCATTCAATATTTATGCAATGATGTTTTTTTTTCTCCCCTCTCCAGCCAAACGTTGATTTTCTGCTGACCTGTTCGTTCAGTCCACTTAACATAGCAAAGGGCAACCATGGGGCACAATAGCAGGTGGTGGATATGGTCTCGGGGGGCGTTTGTGGCCCCAGAAAGGGTGATTAAGGTAATAAAATATGTGCTTTGGGCATTTGTGCAAAGCTTGTTTGATGAAATGTTTTGGAAGGATGAGCATAACGCAGAATGGGAGCCTCTGGATTCGGAGTGTAACTGATGAAGATGCCGGCACCTACACCTGCACGGTGGAGAATCACCTTGGGAGCGCTAACAGCACCGGCAGATTAATATTGAAAGGTACGTTTTTTGGAGGAAATGTACACAGGGACATACATTTACAGATGCTATTGAAAAAAAATATTTGCGTTTTTTGTTGCATGAGTCACGTGACCTTTGGGCATAGCTTGGCAGCCGCTGTCGTGACCAATGTCCATTGATTGAAATGTTATCACGTTATATGTTTTTATTACTATGATGCTATGATGGCGGTGAAGTATTTTTGGCGAGCGGTTGCACCACCGCTGCCAATGCCAGCGACAAAAATCCGAGTATTATATTGGCATAGTGTCAAAAGGACAGCGCTGTGGATTTATAGGAAAAAAATAATTGTGGGAAGATACAAATCCTTTTGACTAAACACAAGAGAAGTTTATTTGTAGCATAGTGAAGTCTCTTAGTTACGTTTCTATTTGTGCACTAATAGACTTAAATAATAAAATAAACTTTTCAAGTGGCCTCACATCAGCCAAATGATAGATGGTGGAGCATGATACCTGGCCCTGGAAGACACATGCATACACACAGCTGCTTCATTTATATCAGTCAGCGGAAGCTACTGGTTTCATTGCTATTGCTACTCAGGAAATCGTGTAGCATGCAAGCCAGCAGTGTGTGTGTATATATATAAAATGTATTGTTTTAGTAGAGAGACCAGTTTCTTGACGTGCAATTGTTTTTTACTCTAATTGACAGGGCCCTATTCCTTTAGCATTTTATACAACGCGTCTTGCACTGTACAATACAGACATCTGCATACATTTCCTCTAATTTTAAGATTCTATCTCTGTCATGAGTTACGGTTCAATCACTCGACATTGCAGGAACGTGGTAAATGGCAATGCCGTTATCCAGCAGTGGATTAATCATGGGTGATGATGATGATGATTGCGATACGGTGTAATTTAATTTTATGTTATATAGCATTAATATAAACTACTTTTAGAAAGCACATCATGATACAGACTTTCCTGGTAATTGAATTTGACCATTATCATACCTCTGAAATAACCAGACATTCCAAAACTACAGCGTCCCGTGTTCCGTGACCACAATCACAATCAACTCGAAGGTTCCACGCGGCTTGTAAATTACATTATCTGCAACTCTGTGTTGCATTGTGGCTTTGTTGGTCGGTTTGTTTTGTACTCTAGGATTCATTATTCAAGGGATGCTGCCGCCGTGCAGTGGTTAAGTGCACCCCGCACTTGCAATCAATTGCCCGCCAGTTAATTCTGCAGTTGAAGTGTTGGGCAAGTTTATTTATTTTTTGTTACCCCCCTCCCCCGACCACACCTTTGTCCACCCAGCAGTTTACAGTGCAACCCCACAGCTCGTTTATCGGCTGGTTGGGTGGCGTGGGATAAAGTGTGCATAACCTCTTCCCGAGATGTCTTGTAAGTGTGGAAGAGTAGGCCAATAACGAAATGGAGGAGCTCTTTCTAACTCCATCCAACGGAGGGCTTTTCTCCCAGTAGGGACGTCACCAAGAATGTGCAAGGCCGCACTCTCTTTCCCTTTTCAGTCATCGAGCTGGCATAGTTTTACTGACCACATATGGAGCTGCCACATGGTAATGCTTTGGAATACCTGACCTGTGATTATTGGAACAGAATGATGAGGCCACATAGAGATGAAAAGGTGGAAAATTGCCCTCGGTACTTCGTGGGCATTATCCAATACTTAAGTTGTATGACTGTACACATCGGGCCGCTCAGAGTAAAGGTTTAAGCTGAATTTAATTATTTTGTTATTGGAAGCTGCAAGTCATCGTGGCATGTATACTGCACCTTGTAATTTTAAACACTTGTGGGTTTTTTTTGTTTGTGGTTCGAGTCACGGAGAAATATGGTTATGACCTTGCGTGGAGAAACCCAGAAACCCTCTGAGTCTGGCAGGGTGAAGCAAGGGCCATTACTTAACGCTGCGTGAGCGCGACAGCGGCGAGTGGCCTTGAACATCGACAGTGTCACCGCCAGTTAATGAATCCACCTTGAATGCTCAAATGTGACCTAATTGGTGGTCTTGGCTGGACACATCATTTATTTTTTACGTCGTTTTCTGCAGTCTCAGAAGTGAGCACGCCATCCTTGGGAGCGCGTCTTTGTGTGAAGGCGAGCTTGCGCATTCCTTCCTACCCAATGGGCAATCATTTGGTGGGATTTAACCGTGTGTCACCTGCAAGGTTTCAAAGGTGACATCTAGAAATATTTAATGATGAAGGTGACAGTCGGTGGGTGGAAGTTGTTGGTATCGGGAAGCGTAAGGAAAGGGCACGCGGACCTTCACGGTAAGTGACTGAAAAACAGGATTTCCTCGAAGCGGTTGCATCTGTGGTACTTTTAACCTCTGCACCTCCTTTTATCGAGCATTCTGGTGGTAATAGGACACCATTACCGCTTAGGTTTTTTTTTATTCCTTTCGCGGTGGTTGCTGTATAACTCTCCCAAGTGTGTTCAGGTTGTGGCGCGTGTATTCTTTGGCGTGATGTCCGATGTTCAACTCTCCGCCCTGGGAGCTTCTTCGCGAACAGAATTCGGCTCCGTACAAAGCTGCCCCACACACGAAGCGAAACATCGGACGTCACGCCAAAACAGCTCGCCGTACAACCTGAAGACACATCGGGAGAGACGCGTACCCGCTGCCGTAGTAACCCCCGTGTGTATTTCTTTTTTGTCAGAATCGACCCGCATCACTGTGGTGCCCTCGCTCAAGATGGTTTCAGTCGGGGAGAGTATTGTGTGGCCCTGCCAAGCATCCCACGACCCATCCCTGGATATCGTCTTTGTGTGGTCGCTCAACGGGCAGCGAATCGACATGGAGAAGGACGCGGAGCATTACCAGCTCTTGCAAGGGGTAGGTAATTCCTGACAAGGCTGGGACAATTCACTGCCCACCGCCAATAGAAATTTGACTAATTGTCAGAAATTCTGGGTCGTAATTCGATTCCAGAATAATGTATCGTCGTTTTTACAGGCATGGCGATTGGTTGTGCGCGTACGGTGATTCCATTGCAAACAATATGCGGTAGGACGTCGCATGTTTGACCGTCGCATATCCGCCCTGACAAATTAACGGAGTGCAACCCACGTGGCATTTGTGGTGTAACCGTAATTTTTGGTAGATGTTCACAAATCTTACTTTAAATTTCGATTTAAAGCTTTCGTGACTGCAGGGATTCATCTTCTTGGTTCTTTTCGGTAAAGTAACGTAGAAGGGAAATAATAAAGTAATAAAAACAAAACATAGTAAAATACAATTCTCACGACGTTTCGGCCACAACGCAAGCAGCCGTCCGACAGACCTGTTCTTCACCTGAGGACGGCTGCTTGCATTGTGGCCGAAACGTCGTGAGAATTGTATTTTATTACGTTTTGTTTTTATTATTTTATTATTTCCCTTCTACGTGCCTTTACCGAAAGAACCAAGAAGATAAATATTACTTTTTCAAACACAGTCACGTGTTCTTACGATCGCGCACGTAATGTTATGAAGGACAGCAAAAGCATGATCCGATGTTTAAAGCAACTTGTGCTTCACCTTTGTACAGTAACATATTTGTATTTGGGGCAACTGTCATTTTGTATCGATCTGACTCTTTCACATATCTGCCTATACCTCACTCCCCAGGGATTCCCGCACGTAAAGCAGTGATTCTTACAAAAGCAAACCGATGTGTGTGTCAGGAGCTTAAGAATCAATATTAATGAATCGATACATCATTCCGCCCTTAGTTTCCAATCCAGGTCACTCTTGAAAGAGAGACCTTCTTTAGCCTATCTGGGCTCTCATCATAGCATTGAATGAATGGATATTGCAAATCCCTGTTATTCAAAATTCCAATTGCCATGGCCGCTTGTGATGCTACGGCAATGTTCCTCATTATTTTAATAATACTAATTTAATACATTTCGTATTTCCGCCATTCTAATGGCCCAAGGCTATCACGAAGGCTATATGTTTCAGACACAGGCTGTGGTAATTTCACAGTGGGCGGTGTGGGGCAGTGTGGGAGTGGGGAAGTCATGTTGCAATGTGTAATCCCAATTGAGTAATTTGCAGTGTAATTTTTTCGAATTTGTAGAATTTGACCATGACGCCGGCACACAATGGGGCCTTCTCATTTTAAAATGAAGTCAATGGATCTTTTGACGTTTCACTGTGAGGCAGATAGCACTATTTTACTGTTCATACACAGCGCAGTAATAGCCAGGGAATTGCACTGGGGGAGAGAAAAGAGAAAGGGAAGCACATGGATCAGGGAACAAACAGGCATTGCAGACATCATTTTGACCGTAAAGAAAGTAAGAGCACTTGGGCAGGGAAAAACTTGTTCATCAACACAAAAAAGCCACACGGTTGCAGTACACAGCCACCAATATGTCATTGTCACCCGTGCTATTATGCCACTATAACACTGAACTTTATTGAAGTGAATTTGCACGAGGCAGTGATAAGCGGTAAAATTGTTTGCGGCCAGAGGCTCCCTCTGGGAGCTCGGTGCAGTCGATGCGCTGATTCTCTCTCCCGCAGTGCGTCGGCACCTGGGCAGAAGCAACGAAGAGCAATTGTGTTTATTAGTTTCCTGCAAAAACAGGCGCTCACATTGTGGAATGGTTGTGCTTTGAAACTTGTGAAGGTGCTCAGCCTCAAGAGTTCATTCTGTGATACTGGCATTTTTGCAATGCTGTACAGACGACAAGGAAATTATTCACCGTGAAAATAGCCACTGGTCCCTGGAATTGATCACGCAGACCGTGTGTGTGTGCGTGTACGTATATGGTGGGGAGTGGTGGTGTAGCGGTTAGCGCACTGCACTATGAACCCGTTTGATTCCCGCTCACGGCCAACACCAGTGACGATTGTCTTAACCGGTCTTGGGCCTCCCCTAGGTCGACTTAACCTCAAATGAGTACCTGGTGCGGTGTGTAAACATCGCCGCTAGGGAGGCAAAGGCGGCTGGGTGTAGTGCTGGCTACCCACCCCTCTCGTGCCGTGCCGGCCTTCATAGGTGCTCGCTAACAGCACTTGCCCCAACAGTCTGTTCAGACTACACTGGGAAATCTTTGTCTTGTGTATGGTCCAACTGCGCGGTCTGTCACCATCTCATGAGAAATTAGTTCGAGTCTTTCTTATTTAGTTCCCTGCCCAAGAGAAGGTCCTTGGCTCAAGTTCCGTCCATTCTGTCCGACCTTCATCTTCTTCACTTTACAGTACAGTCTCCACTTTGTAGTCGCCAAGCAGCATCATTTCTCTTTCTGCCTCTTAGCCTCAAACCCAAAATCCTGTCCCTACAGGACAACTCTTCATAGAGCTTTCGCCTCTGAAAGTGTGCCCAATCGCCAATTGGTTTGACATCACAAAGATTTTCTTGTAAATTTTAGACAACTATTCTTCATCATTCGTTCTTGCTGCCGTGTTATTGTGTGCACTGGTCGCCACTTGTGCTTTCGTACTTTATTACCGAATCGCACTGACTTAGTGATGAGCGCAGGTTTTGTCGGCTTTCATAACGGGGCCATTGTTTGTTTTGTTTTGTTTCAACCTTCGATGAGAAAAAAAAATAGCCATGGGATTAAAATGATGAATCTTTCCTGACACCCGGGGCAATGTCCTGGGAGCAGAATGTACCGAACAGTTAGTCAAAGATTAATTATCGTATTAGGATGACAAAAGACTTAACACTGTCCATACAACGCATGCTATCCAGATTGGAATATAGCAGCACCCGTTTCTCTCCATCTCGGTTAGAAGGCTCTGCACACACGAGCTGTTAAACGTGAGGATTTAACACCGTGTCTGCTTTGCGGTCACCGTCAAAGATCCGAGTGTAGTTTTTAATTGTACGTCCTTTGCGCTCGTGAGCGACCATTTAGATAAGTTGTTAACGCGAACGAAGATGGGCTACACGCGGCGACGGGCAGCAATACATTACATCAATGAACCACGCGTAAAAAAATGCCTTCTGTCAGCTTTGCTACCATATCTGTTAGTCAAACAAACCCCCAGATGGCTGTAATGAATGGTCACGTACCATCTCCCTGCATATAATGTACAACATTCATAACATGGAAATGGCTCACAACAATGATAACCGCGATGACAACATATCCTTCTTATTCATATCCACTTTATTGTTTTTACTTCGTAATGAATGCCTGTCTTCTCCATACTTCCAGCCCGCCCCCAACATAAATGGATATTCATCTTCTTGGTTCTTTCGGTAAAGTCACGTAGAAGGAAAATAATAAAATAATAAAATAAAATAATTCTCACGACGTTTCGGACACAACGCAAGCAGCCGTCTTCAGGTGGAGAACAGGTCTGTCGAGAAGACGGCTGCTTGCGTTGTGACCGAAACGTCGTGAGAATTGTATTTTATTATGTTTTATTTATTATTATTTTATTATTTTCCTTCTACGTGAATTTACCGAAAGAACCAAGAAGATGAATCCCTGCAGTCACGAAAGCTTTAAATCGAAAAATAAATGGATATTGTTCTCATCATAAGGCATGATCAGTCAACTGCTGGATCAAGGCCATCGCCGTCCCTGATGGCCCTAAGCTGCAATGTCGCAGCCAGCAACCATAGCACACGATCAGATCTCATTGCCCCATCACCGTCCCCCTCGTTGGCTCATTAGTCTTGACTTTCGGCCATGATCCCTTCTAGCATCATGTCCTGCCAGTCACCCACTTACTTTTTCATTATCAGTCAATATGCCGTACGTAACTTGCCCATGTTCTCTAATTCGTCTGTTATATGCAGATAGCAACACGTTAATTGCGAGTGCTAGGCGTGCGCGCGACGTGGGAGTCCATGCATGAAGACAGCCTTAGGATTATTACCGTCTCGCGTTCCGAAACAGGTTCACAAATGCAAAGTAACCCGTTGTACATGACTGCAATATTTACCATGTGGCAGGCTTATAAGTATATCGAGGAATTTTCATTTATACATCAAAACATTACATATGAGCGGGGCGGTTTTGTACGGACAGCATTTGTACAGCACGACACACTTAACATTCGGTCCGTGCCCTAAAGAAAATATCTCGCTCACGCCTCTGCTGGCAGACAGGCTTCCACGAGAAATAACTCGAGAGGATAGAGGATATTTGGCCTACTCTTTCACGGGGACCAGATGTGTCGGAAGTGGTAGGAATTCCCACACTTTACCCCACTACATACGATCTGCCGATCGACGAAGCTAAAACATTTTTTTTTTACCAGGTAAGGCCCACTGAGCTATATAGATATGTTTCAGATACGACCTGGCCAGCAATCATGGCTCAAAGAAGTGGCCTACCATGTGGAATGTCATAGCATGTCTCTAAATGTGGAGGGGAAAACCGGAGGAAAATCCGCGCGATCACGGGGAGAACATGCAAACTCTAAATATACAGCAGGCGTCAGGGTTGGGATTGAACCCACGACCTCCTGTATACCAGGCGAGGCATTTCACATATTGCTGACTCTGCTGTACACATTTATACTGCTGGGTGTACAAAGGCGGTGGTGGGGGTGAGAGGGGGGGGGGGGGCTGGATTTTAGAAACATAGCCCAACGTTTCAACTGCCAAGGTGGACAATGACAGTGGTTATCGAACCGGCGACCTCTTAAATGGAAAGTCCAGCGCGTTAAAACATCACACCACAACAGCTGTTCCTGCAACGTTCAGTATAATGTGTATCAATGATATTGTTGTTATGCATTTCTATAATACTAATAAACCAACGTTTTAAGTTGATATATACCCTTTGATTCTAGATTTGAAGCTTTCGTGACTGCAAGGATTCATACTCTTAGTTCTTTCAGTAAAGTCACGTAGGTAAAAAAAAATTTTCATTAAAATT